CTTAAAAAGTAGAAGCTTTTTAATTTGATACAATTCTATTTGCCAGTTCTTGCTCTCATTTCCTGAGCAATTCATAAAATCACTCCTTATGCCTGTATTCTTTTCTGTAGTAGTTTCGGAGTTTCAGGTCTTACATTGAGATCTTTCATCCATTTTGAGTTAAGGTGAGAGACAGGGATTGAGTGTCAGTCTTCTACATGTGTATATACTGTCTTATCTCCAACGTATGTTTTTGGTGCCTTTGTTGAAAATCAGATGACTGTAGTTGTGGAGTTTGTTTCTGTATCTTCTAGTCTATTCTGTTGTTCTACGTGTAACTGTTTTGTGGCCAATCTAGATTTCTAAGCATCTAAAATGTGTTCTTCAATACCAACAATAAAATAATATTTTCAGATCAAAAAAATTTCCCCCAGCATGCATGCATTATGCACTAGAAAGGAATACTGAAGTTTTTATTTTTTCTAGGTAATGGGAAAAAGAAAACAGATGAAAGGCTGGAGATGCAGGAAGGAAGAGCAGTCAAAAGCATAAGTGTGTGGCAAGCTAGTCAAGTTCATCTTTATTGTGGATGTAGAGCAGGTGAAGGGCTCAATCTATGCTCCCCTCCCTTCCAGGTAAATTGAGGTTAGATAGATTCTCGTCAATATTACACTTCTCAAAACAAGGAAGACTGCCACTTATCACTCTGTTCTCTTTCGTATGCATTGGTGTTGAGGTGATGAGTGGTTGAAAAGCACAGTCTCAGCAAGCCTCTTCTCACTCCATAGCTGGCTTTTCTTTGAAATTACAATGAGGTCTATTTAGTGCTTTTGGTTCTCAGCTGTTGTCCTTGTTGCCAAATTTGGGGAATGTAGAACCCATATGACAGAAGCACTTGTAATCAGGCTGGAAGAAGTAGGAAAAAAAAACAGAGCTCCTGCTCATGCTAGCCCAGTTCAACTTTTACCTCTATTATACACTACTGTCAAGAGATTTTGCTGAAAAAGTTTCTATTAAACAACTAAAAACAAACCATTCCCTCAAATTCTTACATTGTCTAAAAAATTCCACTGTGTAATTCTATTAATATTTATGTTTTGTGATAGCCCAATTTTAATTTACAAGATGAGGTTAGGCTTAAAATCATTTCCTGGGGTTATATGCTTAGCATGTGCCAGTCACTCTGGCATGGTCATCACCCCTGAGCTTAGCTTCTGCGCTAACAGAAGATTGCATCCAATCAGCCACTCCTGGCCCAGCTGAGGTGTAGGAGGGGCTACTGATTTCCTCAAGATCAATGGATGCCTTACCATTACAAATTTGGTGTTTCTCTCCCCTTTACTCTCTCTCTAATGTTCAGAAATATGTTTTGCTGAAGGAAGCCTCATTTCACTGGGGTCATGCCTCTAGGGAAGGGATTAGAAAACTCAGGTGACCTCATCATTCTCTTCCAGTTCAGCAAATTTTATATTGGAAGGACCTGGCAACTTGTTCTTGGCACAGTTAAAATGAGCAGCCTTGAATAATTCTGGTAATAAGACATATTAGCAATGAGGGTGAGAAACCCTGATCAGCCATAGGAGTGGGATTAGTAGAGAAGAAGCACTGGACTTTAGTTTCAGGTCATTTGTAATGGGCACAAGAGAGCCATTTATTAATTTACTTAGGCACAGGATTATTTCCAACAAGTAAAAGGGAGGATAATTTATTGCCTCTTCAAAGGGCCTCTTGAAAACACCTGGAAAAATTGGCATGAGGAAAAAGGACTTCTAATTAACAGAGCAAAACAACATTAAGTCCATACTGGAACATTTCTAACACCCAAAGACAGTTTTAGAATGAAGAAGCAATTGCATCTTGATCATTTTCTTGGAAAAAAATTCTACAGGTAGCTGTTCTAATGAAAATTAGATATTTTATTATGAATTTGTATGTTTAATTTTATAGATTCCATGTTAAAAGGCCATATTTCTTTTTTTTACAGAAATAAATAAATCTTTCTTAGCTTACTTTTTAAAAATTTACTTTTATTTTTTAAATGTTTTTATTAATAGGCTATAACTTCTTATAGGTTTCCTCAGATAAGTAGTCTATGGCCTGAAAATCATGTCAGAGTTATAAATTTCTTTTTTATTGTCATAAAACATTAAGTGTAACTGATTATTAAAATAGTAAAGATAAAATTTTTTAAAAATCATCAATTATATGATCCAGATAGAGCAAATATTTAAGGAAAATATAGGCCAGGTAGACTCATTCTGATCTGGAAAGAAACTTTGAGAAGGAAGGTCAGTGATTATCTAGGCTTTTGTTACTTCTGCTCCTGGGAGACCCTGCATGACTGTCCTCCACAACGGTGTTACCCACATCAAATGTTTTACTTAAAAATTTCCTTTTCAAAGGAGCAGGGAAATATCTTCCTTTTCAAAGGAGCAGGGAAATATCTTCCTTTTCCTTTCTACTGCCCATATTGTACGCCTTTCATGGTTGTATTTGTGTATCCCATGACTAAAAGAACCACACTATATACCTTAGCAATTGAGATTATTAACAGCATACAATGTTAGAATACACATTCTTCTTTGTTTTGGTTAAAAAATCTGCTCCTTTTGTAGAATTCTTTATCCTGCTTAATGGCATTGTTCATTAAGTCATCCAAGCTAAAAGAACCCTAGATATTCTGCTCTAGATGCTTTCTTCCCCCCACTGCTTATGTTCTATTGGTCATGAATTCCTGGTAATTTTATCCTTTTATCATATTTCATTAGCTCTCATTTAAAAAAATATATATATCCCTTATGTAATGAGCTTCATTTGGGAATTTATTGTCTCTGTCCTGGGACATTGCTGTAATCACTTTAAATATTTTTTGCAGTTTTCTAACTTGCCTTTTGTCTTTGCTTGTCACCATGAAATACATCTCCTGGATGGTACACAGATACATATATATCTGTGTGTATATGTGTGTGTATATATATATGATGTTAAGCCCCTGCTTATAATTTTTCAGTTTTCCTGCACCCCAAAGGACAAAGTTCAGGCAAGGTTTCATGTCATGCAATGACTTTGATGAGCTGTCTGACCTTTTCTGTGTGTAATCTGATATTTCCTTCACATACTCTATTCCAGCAGACCTGAACAAGACCTTCCAACATATCACACATGCCCTATTCTCCCATTCTAGCTGAAGGAATCCTATTTATACTTTAATACACACCTCAAATAGTTCCTTATTCTGGATCAAACTCACATCCTCCTACCTTTACTCTTCTAAAAGGAATGTCATTCTTTCTTTAGTGATACCAGAAATGCAGAATCCATTGATTTCTTAAAATTTGTCTTCCCAGTGAGACTGAGTAGGGACTGGGACATTTTAAAGTCCTTAAGAGAAAAAAGGACATCATTTAAAAAAAATATATATATACTAAGATATATATACTTCTCAGCTACTATAAAATTCAGAAGAGCTACAGAGTGAATGGTTTAGCCTTTACCAATCTGAGTACAAATTGAATCCAGATGTTTTGTTCCTTGCTTCTAAGGCCCTGGGGACTACCTTTTTCTATCACTAGAGTTCCCAAAGGAGCATATTGTGTGTTTCAGAATGGGTCTGTTGTTGCTTGTTACCATGGTAAACAGACACAGGGCTTCAATAACCAAGCCAAAACTCAGCTTTTGTCTCTGAAAGCTTCATAGATGTTAAATTCAGTCTGGAACTGTTTCCAAGCTGCAGCCTCTATGATGTCTTGGTACCTGGAAGGCTGGGGCTCAGCTTCTCCTCAGCACTGGAGATGCTGACACTGCCCTGCAGGTGAGAGGGCAGGTACTTGCACTGCTGCATCTCGGAACTGGCGTGCCATGCCCATGGTTATAGTCCTTTGCTGGTTTGCAACTCTAGACCCTTAGATTCCTTTTCCTCTTATGGTAAATTATTTCTCAGGGCACTGCTATCTAATGTCCCAACTCTGCTCTTCTCAACTCCTTTCTTCACTATATGCAAATGTGTCTCATTTCTTGACTTCTAACCACTCCTCCATGTAATAATGAAAATCATTTGTAATAGGACAGATTTAAAAAAAAACTGGACTCTACTCATTGAATATACAAATTTCTTTTCCTAATTTACGTCACTAGCAAGAGCTCTACCATCTTTAATCATAACAAATGGCTATAAATATAAAGCTTGTGGTTAATTTTTGTAATGATAGAAAACCTCAGGAGTACATAGACAGCTGGTTATAGTTAATGGTATACTTTTGGCAATGTATTAAAGTAAGTTCAATTGAGTTATGTGTAACTCAGGTGAAAGTTGCTGAATTTACTTTTTCTCCTTGATAGCCAGTTTTATTTCCTGGATGTGTATCTAAAATGTGTGTTTTTTTAATGATAGGTATTCCATGAATAAAACTTGGTTACATCAGAATGGAAGTTCTTTAACAATAATCATACTATATCTCATAAATATGTACAATTATATTAATAAAATATTAAAAATGTTTAAGGACACAGAATTGCCAGCTACCATGATTTGATCATTACACATTGCATTACATGTGCTGAATTATCACTCTGAATCTCATACATATGTACAATTAAAATAATACAATAAAATAAAATTTTATAGTGATTACAGTAATACAAATATGCATATACCTGTAGATTCAGAAATACAGCTTTTTATGGTTTATGGTAACTGTGTAATGGGTAGTAAGGACTTGTATTTCAAGACCTTTTTAAATTTATAATGCTATGCAATCTGACAAATCAGATATGTGCTTGTTTTTGTTATACTTAGCTTTACCAAACACAGAATATGCTAGATTAGTACATAGAGAACTGGAGGAATGGATCAAATGGTAGAATACCTAGTAAGTGTGAAGCCCTGAGTTTAAATCCCAGTACCACCAAAACTCAATATTAATATTTAAAATATTTATTTTGAATCAAGTCTTCAAGGAAATATATAAATTTCCAACTGATCACTGACATACAAAGAGATACATTAAGATCTTGAAGTGGTTATTTTATTAACAAACACAAATTTGAAATGTTTACAATAAAACATGTGAATATGGAACAAAAATATGTGTAAATAGTACTTCTACAACTGGGAGGACATCTCAGTTTTGTCAATTTTGGTGACATCTTCCCAACCACGTCGAATCTTCAGTATCTTCTTCCTCAGGCATGGTAGGAATAGTATGGTTTTACATATCAGGACAATAATAGGAAGGAAAATAGCTATCATGAAAGTTGGAGGTGTATACCATATGAATTGTTTTGTATCTACCCATTTATTCCAGGCAAAAATCAATGCATGCATTGTACCCAGTAGAAGGGAAACAATTCCTAGCTTGCTCTGCAAAATAAAAACAAAATTACTTTAGTGAAGATTGGGCAGTAAGAATTTATTCCATCCTACCTCATCTGAATCTGTTCTGTTACTTAGAAATCCTTTCATTCATCTATGATTATTTGCCTAATACATTTCTTAATCATTTCCATTCACATCTTCAATTCTTTTTACATGTTCCTCCTTACCATGCTACTATTGGGTAATATTTTTGTCTCCAAGATAGGTTGAGAAAATTCACAACCCTTCTTTTAGTCTTAGGTGCTCAATAGCCCTGTCCTTCCTTTCTCTGCCATTTTGTTCATCTTATGATATTTATATTTTCGTACTTTGTTTCTTGTGCATTTGTCTTAATTTTGCCTATCAAGAGATTTCTAAAATCAGGAACTGTGTCTCACTCATCACAGGACCCCTGCAGAATCAACACAATAATCTGCACATTATTAGGTGCTCAATAAATATTGGTGGGCTGACTGAAGGTTACCACAAAATCAATTTGACTTCCGTGATCTTTATCAATTGTGAAGGCAGCTAATGTAATTCATTCAGATTTTGGTAAATGAATAGTGAAGTGAATAGACATGGGCTATGTTTTAAAAAAATAAGACATTATGATAAAATGGAAAAATACTGGCAATTATTTCAATGTTTGAACAAAATAGATCTAAAGATGTGAAAAAATTTCAGCTTGCAATGGAATGCTTTGACATCACACAGATAAAGCTCCTTGCAAATAGTTGTTCAGCTAAGTAATTTTATGGCATTCTGACAAAGCTCTTCTAGATGACTCTTTGACTTCTATTCACTTTACTGGAAATGGTTATTAACCTGACAGAACAAATCTAACTCACAATCATTCAGCTGTGGTCTTAAGCTCCAATGAATACAATTCAATGGTTAAGTTGTGTTTTTAGCCGTGACTCCTCAAGGTAAGTCATAGTGTAACCAGTTCTCAGACTCTAAAGGAAAAGTTTCTACGTTAGTAACTGTAAAGTACATGTGATTGGTTGAAAATTAGTTTTACCAAATGTATATGATATATTTATTATGTGCTATGCATTGCATATATAATGGGACATATGCTGAAAATGCAGTACTTGAATCTATAACTAACTCTGAAAAGTGGTGCTCGTGTATGTGTGAAGGGAAAGCAATGTGAGGAGGAAGCTATTTCATGAGGAGTAATGAAGCCAAACACACAAAATTAGGAAATATTTTGCTTGGAGATGTGGTACTATCTCTTAGTCATGTTGGAATAATTAAGATAGAGAAACACTTTCCAGCCTAATCAGATGCCCTGGTTAAGTGTCTGTTGAAAATATGCAGGACAGATAGTGAAGAGTGTTTCACTTTGTGGAAATTTCCAAGAGGTCCACACACAGAAGTTAAAACTCAGTCATTTAAAAAATTTTGGCAATGCTTTTGATTGAATTAAATTTAGTCCTTTGAATTTTGTCAGACATTGGTCCCTTTGTGAATTTTGGCACATTGTTTTTTTAAGTATAATCTCCTACTAGGAGATAAACTTCAATAAATTTGAGATAGGTTTTGAATTCTAAGAATATTCAGAAACTTCAAGTGAGTAAGTTATCTAAAATGTAACTTGGAAAAAGCAATTTTTAATGTTAGATGCTGGAATGTCTTCGATAGATAAAACTCCATATTTCAAGGTGAGTATTTGTAAAACATCACATTAGTCATTAGATGGGCAGCAGACTGTCTTAATAAGTTGCAAATGTTAGAATATTTTTCTTTTAGTAATGTCTTTTATTTATGTCTACAAATGCATCCAATTTAGAAGCAATCGGGAAAACAGAAGATACATTACTAATTAGAACAAGTGTAGTATTGGAAAAAATTTGTTATTTTTATAGGGTAAAGTTGAAATACTTGATGTTACAAGCACAAATGATTTGCCTCTATGAGGGAGTAGAGTTATTTTATAAGTCATTTACCTGAATATAGTGAAATTCTCTCCATGTCAAAGAGTTGCTCACAGATGGAATAGATGTGACAGCCAAGGGAGCTAGTATTGCAAGTCCCAGAATGCCCAGAGACAGGTAAATCTCCATTCTCCAAACATCATGCTTGATCCAGGCATCTTCCTTATTTTGTTGGACCTACCAGAAGGAGGAAAGAAGGAATACAAACCACACTTACTCCATTAGTCTACTATGGTGGTCTTGAGAACAAAGGAGGCCTAAACAAACTTATGACTTTTCATTTAGTCCTCTAAAAGAAATGACATAGGAATTATTACTTTCTTTCCTTGAATGCAACATTTATATAATACTCTATTTGTTAATTACATAATAGTTATTTGATGGTTTAGTTAGAATTGTAATGTGTGCACAACCTGTGGGAAATAAGCATAAGGTTTGAACAATTAGCATTAAAAATAACATTGCAAGGGTGGCAGAAGATTAAAATGTGACCACGTCCATGAACTAAATATTTTTTATGTTGTTCAAGCTGTACTTTATATTCAGCTTCAAAAACATTCCTCATCATAAAGCTGGACACTGAAGCCCAATGAAGCTATAACACCTTTTTTAAAATGCAGATTACTTTCTTAACACAGGGTTGAAACAGGGGCTTGGAATATTGCTGTCACAATGAAAAAGGACTGATTTGTTGGTGACTCTGACTCTTTTAAGTTTACTAATATCATCAGCATTATCATCCTACCTGTTGATATGCCCAATTCAGCAACTTGTATCTGTAGGATCGCCGCATTGGATAAGACAGGCTATAAATTGCATGTAGTACAGCAAAAAAGAAACTGAGAAGCCCAAACTGCTTTCGTGTTAACATCCACCTGTCCAACCACGGTGGGAATTTTTTATACTTAGTTCCATTATGAAGTTGTACAACTGCTGCTATCACACCTGGCAGATAAACCAGTGCTAAGAGGGTGATGGAAACCATTGGTAAGACTTTATTAACGACCAGGATTGGAATTCTATAAAAATATTGCTGGTGAGAAGTTACTAAAGGGTGAATTACTTCCCTCAGAAGAGTGTACAGAAAAGTCAGAGATGATACAATAGCAGCTATTTTGATTGGCAAGCGCCATTTTGGAAAGAGCTCCTGTGTATGCTGAAGTTCTGATGGGCAATCGAATTCATCAACATGGAGTGTTTCTTGCAAGTGTGAAAGCACAGGTCTTCTCAGCATACTGGTCTCTCCTGTGTCCTTAGTCTACAAAGGAAAGGAAAAAAAGTCTTAAAATTGCACAAAGCACAGGATTTCTCTTACTTTGACTATTTATTGCTCAATCATTGTGCTTCCAGGTAATAAGGGCATTCGGAATCTTGGTGGTTAGCTGAAGATAGCATCTATAGTAATGACCAAATGTGCACTTAGCTACATTGGGATTCCATTAATTTTTGTTATTCATTTATCTTTAAGACATGCTTCAGATGCTTCCATTAATGCTTAGACCATTGTGACTATTTTGAAGATGTGAAATAATGGAATAGGGCAACTTGGAAGCCAAAATTGAAAATGTCTTTTAAAACTCCAGCAATCTTTGGTAAAATAATAAATTAGTGGAGTTTGAACTCATGGCCTAGCAAGTGCTCTACCACTTGAATCATGACCCTAGCCCTTTTGTTTTAATTATTTTTATTTTTTGGATAGGGTTTGCATTTTTTGCCCAGGGCTGGGTTTGGACTGGAATCTTCCAACCTATGCTTCCTGCATAGCTGGGATTACACTATGTGCACCATATCTGGCTCAATTTTTAAGAGAGGGTCTCACTAATTTTTTTGCCTGGGCCAGACTCGAACCATGATCCTTTTATCTCCATCTCCCAAGTAGCTGGAATTACAAGCATGCACCACCATGTCCAGGTGAACTCGCAAATTGTAATACTTATGTTTTCTCTATAATATTTTTATTAGTTACTGGACAACCTACAGAACACCGAGAATGCAGTCTTTATTAATTAGAATGCAAAGATCAGGGATGATATGGTCATTATTATTAGATAAAATATGGAATTTCATCATGTGATCTTGTGCTTTGATTTTGTATTTCTAAAATAACTCATTTGTCTAAGTCGTGACAGACAAATATATTATCAAGAAGGTAAAAGGCTATATAGCTAGTTGAATCCCACAGAGATGATCTATTTCCTGAGAATGTTATATTTTTTATCCATTTGCATTTCCAGGTAGTCAACAATCCAAAAGAAGGCTGCAACGAATAATCTGTCATTTCCCCAAGTGACTGATAATACGGAAAATTTAAAACACTCACAATAAGATCTCAGAGTGTTTCGTCTTGTGCACTTTATGAATAGATCTACTTCTTACTCTGTGGTGTTCTTCATTTTTATAGCTCTCTCTGTTACAAGAACATTGTAATGCTTCACATGATGCTAGTGATTATCTTGTTCAACTCATTTTATGCACAGTAACTTTAATCCACATAGTGCTCTATAATTTTCAATGTTTTAAATGACCTTGCTTGCCATTTAATTTCTACTCTGAGTAATAAATCACTGTTCTACGTAATGATTTTTGTAATTACTCCATCTAGAAAGGATAAGGTTTCTGTCCCTTCTGCATGATAACAGTGTAAGTATAATCAGCTGAGATTGATTTTCTGGTTAGGAGTGAAGAATTATGGAGTGGCAAGTAAGACAGCTAATTTGAAAACTGAACATAACTTTGTTTTGTGCACAGTTAGTTTTTAGGGTACATGCTTATAGTGCTTAATTATTTTTCCTTTTAAAATAAGATAAATAATTTCTGCTAAAACTGTATTTGAAATAATTTAGAAAGGTTAGAGTTTGGAGCCAAAATTTTCTGCCACTTTTTAAGTAAAATAACATTGTAAGAACCATTTAATTTTGTGGCTGACCAAAAGTGGGACAATGATTTTTATCCAAAAGTGAATTTATTTGGTTAAACAGCGAGTCATCAGTTTAGTTGGTGATCTCTCAGGAGGCTGCCACAGTGTCTATGGAAAAATGCTTATCAAACTACTATGATATGTGCATTGGTGGCTTGTGGTTTTAAACTGAGAACCAGAGAGGTTAGAATTGAAGGACCTTGAAGACAATCTGGTCCATCTTTATGAGACCCAGGCTTTTCAGTGACTTATTTACCTAAGACTCCTGTCACTGATGTCAGAATATCAGCAGTAAGAATCCAGTGCAGATACTGGATGAAAATCACTCTTACAACACTAGAAGATATCGAATGGCATTGGAATTACATATATGAGTTTCATTACTAACTATTATTTTACCAAATAATCATCTTCTAGACTTCTTCTAGCGTTCACTTCCCAAATATCTTCATTTGTAACGTCCTTTCTGCTCTCCATTTATTCTGTAATATAAAATGGCTTCAGTCACCTGAAAAATAAAACAATTATAGTTAAGTCTGCTTTATTTATGATGTCAATGTTTGATGGGAAAATACTCACCCAAAGACTAGAGAGGCAGATAAAGTACAATTAAAATTGAAATAGTAACCGGTCTATTCATTTAAGGAGTCTCAACCAGTGCACTTATGTCAATAGTTATCTTCTTTGTCCAACTATTTGTACCATGAACGACCCATGTCTATATGGAATACAAAGGGTTAGATGTGACTTTTTACTTTAGGAAAAATTAACTTAAGGTTCTTATTTATAGGAAACCCAGCTCCTCTCAAAGGTAAACAGAATTTGAAATGTCTTTTTCTGAGGATAACAATGTGATCAGTGGAGGTTGAAGGTAGCTGATACATAATTATATTCCAGGAAGTTACATGTTTAAGAGAATTTGGGGGTGACATTTGAAACAAAAATTAATTGATTTTCATGGGAAAATATTTTGGAGTTTCAGTTCATGAACAGAACATACACTATTAGTAAGGTGAACCTTAATAGTGTCAGAAAGAACCAAAAAGGTGTTGAGTGCTGTTTTCCCATTAGAGTAATGGGCCAGTCTTTGTTGATAAGACATAAATGGCTAGTCTATTTCCAGTGGGAATGTTGAGTTGTGCGCCATCACTGACATGCCTGCTCTCTTTCCCAACCCTGCAGAAACAAATTTCGTAAAAATTTTTCCCAGATAAAGGAATCTTTTCCTTAATGATTTTCAAAGAGCCTCACCTGGGTGCAGTATAACTTTTTTTTAGGGGAAGGAAACATTTGATGTCATAACATTACTATAATATTATTCATTGTTTTTATTAATAGTAAATTTATTTTAAGAGGAATATATCTGTAATTTGTACCTCATGAAATTCAATGAGGAAAAACAGATTAAATATACAACAAATTGGCAGAAAACATTCCAAGTGTTTTTGAATTTAGACCACTTTGTAATACCTTATTAAGTAGAAAATTGTTTAGGAATAGTTTAGAATACTTCGAATGTTTTCCAGGTTTTAAAGGTCAGATCCTCACAAAGAAGAAAGAGTGGTCACCTCAATGTAATGCCAACACTTTCTTTGTTGAGGTGTTCCTGGAACATTTTCAAGACACTTATCTTGTAACTTTAAAACATTCATGATGAGGATACAGGATGAGCATACCTAACCTGGAAGTCCAAAATCTGAAATGCTCCAAACTCCAAAACTTTTTTTTCCACTTGCCACAAGTAGAAAATTCCATAACTGACCTTCTATGATGGGACTCAGGTAAATCATAGGTATACTAAGTATACTGCATAAAATTACCATCAAGTCATGAATTGTGTGTGAAACCTGAGTGAATTTCATGTTTAGACTTGGGTCCTAGTCCCAAGACATCTCACTATGTACATGCAAACTTTACAGAATGAAAAAAACCCAAGTCCCAAGATTTCTCATCTTAAGCATTTTGGATAAGGGATATGCAATGTGTATTTGTTGTTTTGGTTTGCCCATATTCTTTCTTTTTTTTTTCTGGTTTACAATATTGCCTTTAGAGAAATGCCCCTCTTCCACCCAGTAGGATACCAGGAGGCTGCCAATTGTAGTAGCACACATCTTGTGGCCATAGAAATGAGCATAAGACTCAGGCTTAGCCAGCCAGAGTATCCTATTGCCAAGATTTCACTGATTGGTTTAGGCCTGATACCCAACCCTACTTGACAAGTTATAGCTCTCTGATATTTTTATCTGGAGGGGGGGAGAGAAAGAGGAGACATCTTTAACATTTTGTTAAGTTGGGATGGTATAAAATTATCATGCTTCCCCAACCCCAGCGCAACAGGGAGAAAGACATTTCTATTTGAACAGAACACCAACACCAAAAAGCAGAAGAAGAAACGGAGAAAGCTGTAGGAGAGTTCTGGTAGCATATTTGAGTAGACCAGATCCAAAATTCTAAATTCATACCAATCTCCCCTTTTTTGTTTGAGTTAGTTGGAGTTGGGTATTGGCATTTGACAGAATGCTGGGTAAAGCATATACTCACCAGCAAGTACTTATGAACACAATTCCGAATAGACACTAAAGAGGAAAAAGAGAAACAAGAGTTGGCACCTGTCCTGAAGAAGCTTACAGCCATCCTCAGGAAGCACCATTCCATGTCATTCGGACTTAACCATTTGACTTAACCATTGTAAACAGAATAGCTTGGGAAGGGTTGTCTAGGAATAGGACCAAATACAAGAAATAATTTACTATGTGTAGAGGATATTTTAACTGTGAATTTCAGTTACAAGCATATAAATATATTTATTCATTAACTACACTGTGAACAATGATGTCAGACAGTGGGGATCCAAAGTTAAATGAGATAAAGCCTCAACTCTCAAAAACCTTGCAGTCTGGGAGAGAAGGCAAACATTTCAGTAAGCAACTGTGTGGCTGTGTCACATACTGCTTTATGGACAGATGGTGGCCTGGGAATAAAAAAGCAGAGAAAAAGGGTGAGAGCTCCCTTCTATACTTAGCCCTAGGGCATCCAGAAGTTGGAAGCATTTGCTGATCAAGGGCCCTGATGCAGAGATCCTGGGTAGAAAGCCAGAGTGGCCCTGGAGGGGGACCCAGCCCTCTGTCTACATGGTACCAAGCTGACAGCAAGGCCCAGAAAAAGCCAGCAGCAGCAAGGGCGATTCCCCTGTCATTGACTGAATGACAGTCAATTGTGAGCCCAGAAACCAGGAAAATAAAATGTTTGTTTCCAACAGATATTAACTATATAATTGAAGTTCTACAATAATTTTTTTTCATAAGACCAGCAAATCTAACAGGAAATAGCACAGTGCTAAGATGTTAAGAACTCCAGAACTGGACTCAACGTTCTCGAATTTTCCTCCCCATTAAAAAGTGGAGCATAGCTTCTGATGTGACTTCTATTTTGCTGTACCAGGATGGCCGGCCTGGTGTTCCTGCAAAATATTGACACAGCCCGACTGACTCATGTTTATGGCCAAGAATTTAGAATTTAAGAAAGCCAGTGACTGAAATACATTGTGGCTGGCGCTGAATTTCCAACCTTCTACACTTCCAAGCACACACTTGCCTCTGTGAAGGGAGACTGTTTTCTTCATCATGCTGTTTTATTTGTTTAAAGCACTGATTCCACCCCACTATGCCTAATACATCCATGCTAAACGACCTTTAATTAAATATCAGAATGTGGCGAGTTCTTTTTTTACAAAAAGAACAGCGTAGCAAATTTTGAAGTGTACCTAAATTCTACGTTTACAAATCCCTTCCAGTGGATTTGTCCGGAATGACATCTTTAAAAGCATTAATTTGGAGGGAACTTGAACCTCATCTGGACCCTGAGAGAGTAAGACCAGTGTTCCAAGGACTTAAAGTAAAATTTTCCTAAAGACCAAGTTAAGTACTGTGCACGATGCATTCTTCAGTGCGCTGCAAACTCCTGGTCACTCTACAAGTTGAAAACTTGCCATCAGACCCTATCCTGAGTATAAGCGCCGACCCCTTCCCCCCGCGGACAGGACCTCCTAGTCCCTGATGTCCCCAGGTCGGTCCCCAAGGAGAGGGGCTCTGCGGCGGGCTGCACCCGTGCGGGAGGCGCTCACTGAGCTGCGCTCGCCCCCAGCCGAGTCCCCGGAGAGCACGCGCCCCGCGACACCCCTCCCGAGGCTGGGGGCCCGCCTTGCAGGGCCCGTGAGCGTGGGGAGGGCGCGGAGGGAACGACTGAACAGACTCACCCGCTCCTCGGAGGGACCCGACAGTGAATGGCCGCCTCAGCTTGGCGGAGCCTCCCCCACCCCCCGCCAGCGTGCAGACCCCGCCTCCCCGTGCCCCGCTCGCACAGCGCCCCCTGCCGGCGCCGCGCCCCAATCCCGCCCTCCCACTCCCTGCAGGTTCCAGCTCCGCCACCTGCGCTCGCGTCCCTCCCTTTTCCTTTTCCCCACTCAACAACGAGCACGTGTGCATCCTTCAGACCGTAGTTTTCAGAGTCTGGTGTGTGTCAGAATCGCCTAGAGCACTCGGGAAAACCTACTGCTGGGACCCACTCACTGCCCTGTTGAGTTGAGCTAGGGACCTGAGAGTCTGCGTTTCCTACCAGGTTCCAGGTGTCAGTGAAGCGATCCGGTGGATCACACCCTGAGATGGGCTGCTTGGGAGTCAATATATCCATCCGCAGATGAGCGCATTTAAAACTAATAGGCTCTCCGTGAACTGGCCGTCATTTACAAACACGGAATCGAACCCGAGTTTCTGAGAGTGCCTTGCACCCTGAATTGTCCACATCTTGTTGCCTGGATCGCAAACCTTCAGCAAAAAAAAAATCCCGTAAATTCGGCATTTATTCCTTTCCTTCCTCCTCAGCTATTAAGTGCAGCTCAGCCAAGTACTCAAAACCTAAAAGAAAGTTATTTTCAATATTTAAAAGTATCAGAAAGAGAGAATGAGAGGGACGATTTACTCCTCCGAGTTGGACGCTGCCTCAGGGAAGAGTGTCGGGAACCTGGATTGCAACATCTGGGAATTTTATGTGCCACATTTCCAGAAGTAGTCTAACAGGAAAATGCAAAGGAAAGCAACCACTTAACCGCATTTTTCGTGGTTATCTTTTTTAAGTAATAGCTGGGGCGCCAAGGGATAATCATGCTTTAACAATACATCTATAATTTTTGGATGATTAACTTTCCTCAGGGAATCTTAAAGTCCTTTGAAGATTTAATTATTATTGACTGACACCTTGTGGTGGAAATAGAATCTTGCATCTTTTATTTCTAGTGAAACCAGAAAATAATAATTTAAAAGTTTTTGGGAAAAGCTCTTGCTTATAGTACGGGCTACGAAGAATTAAGGCAAATTGTTAAGTTTGTACAAGAATCGTCGAATGTTGCGAATTATCATAGATTATAAATGAACAGAGCAATATGCCATCATTATGACTTGGCAGAACAAAAGTCATTCTCTTTTCCATAATCTATTTCCCGTATGAAGAGGACAAAGGACAAAGAAGTTATTGTAATAATACTAAGTGGCTAATTTTTAAAAAGCTCCACTAAAATTGCTTTCTGTCTTCTAATTAAGACATGTAAAGTCAAGCCAAATATTTTTTATTCGATTTAGCAATTTTATTTCTTCATTTCTTGCAAAAGTCTTTTGGCCAAATTTTTAGTGTGGTGAATAAATATGGTATGTTCTAAAGTGAAATGACTGAAAACATGAAGTTTTTTGCTAATTAGTTTGTAGGTATTACAAAAGTAACAATATGAGATTAAAAAACATGATACTAAAGAACTTTTAATGAGTTTTGAGGAATTAATATCACAGATGAAGTATCTGCAACTTTTGCATGAAATGTTCTGTGATTTGGGCATGAGCTGAAGAAGAAACACACATTGGAAACCCGATGCTGAAGTATCGCAAGTACGCTGAGTCAGCCTCTTTACCACATGCTTTTCAAAACCAATCTGGCTTGTGGAAAACAATGTCATGCTATTGCAAACATTGAAAAGCACATTGCTAGTTTGACTGTGACTCAGAAGAACTAGAGGATTAACCCAATGAGCAATTGAAAACAGACACCTAGGAAGGATGAAAAACAGTTCAGGCTAAGGGGCGGTCACTAACAGAAGTGGGAGGGTAAAAGAAGGAAGTAAATAAGGTGTAGGATATGGTTGATGTACTTTCTATACAGGAAAGAATATAGAATACTTAAATCCGTTGAAATCACGGAAAGAAGGGGACCAAGGTAGAAAGGAAGAAAATGAAGGGGGATGAACAAATTTGAGATATAATACATATATACGTGGAAATGTCAACAAAACTCCCTGAATAGTTAATCTTAGACAAAAATGCCTTTTTTCCCCCAAAAACGAAGGACAGGAAGGTAAAACAGGTCCTGTCTGGGGGGTTGGTACCAATGGGAGAGGAGAGAATGAAAGAAAAGGGTAAAGGAGGGTGAATATAGTGGAAATACTATGCACTGATGTGTGAAAATGGAAAAATGAGACCTCTTGAAGCTATTCTAAGAAAGAGGGGAGGAGAGGGATAAAGAATGTTGGAGAGGGTAAATTTAACTAAGATATATTGTAAGCACGTTTGTAAATGTCACAATGTATCCTCAGTACAGCAATAATATAATAAAAATAAAATTAAAAAAAGAACTAGAGGATTTAAAATGGAGATTCAGCTATGAGTTACAGATTGTTCATAATATTTTGTAATAAACTATCACGCATTAACAAAATAGTTGTTCAGTATTATTTGGGGTCAAATACTAAACTACCTGTAGTGTGACTTTACCTTAACATGTTGTGAAGTATAATAGTTGAGAATCTGTGTGTACTCATACCTGACTGGTAAGTAACCTGATCTTAGAACTTGGTGTGACTTCCATTTTAGAAGTAAATGGAGTTCTACAGTGTGAAAGATAAAATAAAAACATCATACTATTAAAAATAATTATAATGAGGGGAGGGCATATAAAGACAGTTGGATTTGATCAGCACATTCGTATGCATGTGTTGATATATCACACTGACCTCTATTAATATATGTCATTAAGACATGCTAATCAAAAACAAAACAAAAATAATTAAAATGAGCCATTATAAGTGGATAATATAAAGATAGTTTTCTCCTTCAGAAATTGAACTAACTCCTGAGAGGACATTAATTCAAATAATGATTGACAGTATTTCCAAGTCTACCTCTTATGAGTGTAAGAATGAATAGTCAGACTTTCATTTTAAGATGAGAAAAAAATTACCTAAAGTTCAAGGAGGAATATTTTTCCAAAATGATTGATTTAGTAAACACGTAGTAAAGTCTCACTGGCCAAAATTTGTAATTCTACTAGCCTCATGTGATATGTTCTCTTCACTACAGGTCAAGGTTTGCTGGTATAGTAGCCTTCAAAGAATGTGTTCAGTTTATCCCAATGTCTGTGTGTGAAAGTGGTGGGAGTTAGAGGAAGCTCTGCCCTTGGAACTGGAGGTACTAAAATTCTTCCATTTTTTTCCTCGTTAACTGAAGGCCTTTTTTTGCTCATTCATCAGTACCACTAACAGTAAACAGCTGTTCAAGGTGGATTTTAAGAATATGTACTTTGTTTTATGTTGAAGCTTACAGCTTCATCTCTGCCCAAATATTACTAATGTAACTCAAAATTCTGTGACAAAATGTAGGTTAGCTTTAAATATTTTGTAATCTATGGACTGTCTAGTGTCCATATTCACTTTCTCTTTCTTTGATCAATTACTCATAATAATTGTCTTTCAGATTTTATTCTGCTGTAGGTGACTCCAGACTGTCTTGTTCTGCTGTCTCCAGGTGTACTGCTAGCAACATTAAAACTGAAGCTGTCACATGGGTACACCCACAATCTACCTTGCAGGACAGGGAATGAGTACAAGTCCAAGGAGAATTAATTTCTTGTAAGAACTGAGACAGAAGTTGCACATCCAGTACTTAAAGGTTATTACTATGGGAGAAAGAATAACAATTTTTGACAAATAGCTAGAAGTCTTCAGAACATTCTTACTCTAACTCTGTCCATGTTCATATGAAGCTTCAGCACTTTGATTTCTTCTTTCATTAGAGTGAATACTTTCCTTGTTGGGAAACCTGCCTGAGGGTTCAGGGTAAATTTGTAACTCAGCAGCTCAGTCTTACACTGAAGACTGACTACTTGTAGTGAAGCAATCTCTTGTGTGTTCTCACTATATAGAGGTTTTCCCCTGGGGTCTTCCTGATGGCTCTCCAGATACACTTGGACATGAGAATAGTTATTGGGAACTCTGCCTAGTTCTACCATGTCTGTGCTGTTACCACTGTTACTATAGAATAGAATCTGATCTGATCTTCTTTTTACTTACAGACCTGAAAACGGATACTAAGGGCATTTTTCTTCTTCTCCTACTCCTTCTCCTCCTAATCCTACTCCTACTACTTCTTTTTGCAATACCAGGGACTGAACCCAGGGTTTCATGTGTGGTAGGCAAGCACTCTACCACTGAGTCACACCCCTAGACATGTAAGGTCATTAAGAAGACAAATCTGTATTTGCTTAGTCATTTTTATTAGCATATAATCGTTGCACTGGGAGGATTCATTGTGACAATTCCAAATGGGCTTATATAGTACATTGGTTAGATCACCCCCACCGTCTCTCCCCCTTGATCCTTTCTCTCCACCCCACTTAAAGCAGCTGCAAGAGGTTTCTTTGTTCTATTTCATATAAGTTTATGAAGTCCATTAACCATATACCCTAACCTTCATCTCCTTCATTCACCCTTTCCCCTTTAAAGTACCCCACACTGAACTAATTTTACAGTCCTGTCTTTTGTTATTAATATTTAAGTCAATGTACAAGGGGTTTCTCAATGCATCCCCACTGATATTGTTAATGCTCTGTCAGTCTCTTTTCCTTTTCCTCCTTTCGGGAGTTCCACAGAGTAGTTCCACTATTACAAACATGTTCTACATATGAGTTTGTAAATTATCACATTTGTTCTTGTGTGTATGTTTATCTTATGAATCTATTGTTCACAAAAGAGAGACAAACATGCCTTTCTGAGCCTGGCTTACTTCACTTAACATGATGTCCTCCAATTGCATCCATTTACCTTCAAACCACATGTTGTCATTATTCCTTATGGCTGAGTAATTCTACATTGTGTATATATATATATATATATATATATATATATATATATATCACATTTTCTTGATCCATTCATCATTTTTTGGGCATCTGG